TGTATACCACACTTCATGCAATCTATTTTGTAAATGGTATTGACTTGATCTTATTTTTCTGTTGGGTCTTTTAGTTTACACAATATCGATTGAAGTAACTGTGTTGGCTTTTATGTTGTGTTCATTTCTAAGGCTGATAATATTCTTGACGTGAATTCAGGAATAGCATTTCGTATGGAAGGTGGAATTTTCCATGGGTCTTTGACGAGTTTAAAAACTTTTTGATGAAATTGTGAGAATCTCGGTTAGTAGGTATTTTTCCTCCACTCTCTCTAACATCGGAGCATTGCTAAAGTGTGTGTTTGACCTCTTTTAAACAACATCTGCACACAGTTACTTTTGTAAGTAATTGGCCTATTACTACTAGAGTTGAGTATTTGGTCCGTGTGCGTTGATTTTGTGGGCGTAATGACCCTACCAGTTGATGAGTCGCAAATACTACGAAATCTGCACTCACATTTCCTTCGCTACTTCTGATCCACCAAATAAAATTGATGTTGAATAGCGAAACATTTTCAAAGGCTTCGTACTAGTAGGCAAGATGTTTTAACTTAAAATATATTTGGAAAGTAATATATTACTTTAGAATATATATATATATATATGTATCATTGCCATATATTCTGTCTTTCTCTGCACTTCTATGTATTCGATTACATGACAATAACTAGAACAAATCTGAATTGTAGTTATTTTAGATGAATGGAGTATTAGAGACACACCCTACAACTAATAATGACAATCTCATGTCATTTGAAACAGCTATATCTTATATTTGAAATATGATACCAAATAATAATGGTATCGAACTATGTTAACAACAATTAAAAATGTTCTAATCTGAACATTTCTGATATAACTATTTATGTACGCTTTCTGATGAGTTCAGCGTATTTTGTTTGAACACTAGGTAGTGTTATTAATGTTGTGAGTTTAGTCCTTAGGGTGTTGGTTGTCGTCAGGAGACGTTGACCGGTATAGGTTTCAGTCTGTACCAGTGACAAGAAGAAAAAGAAAGGCATGACATGAGTGACTAAATGCCTAGTGCCCGATAAAAGTATATTTTATTGCTAGTCCGAATGATTCGATGGTAACGTCTCTGACTACAGCACATAATGACTTGGGTTCGAATCTCAGGAGGGATATTAGTTTCTTGAAGATTACAGATACGCACTGCTATGAAGAATGCTCGCAAGCACGAAGCTTTGGTCCACAGCTTCGTTCTGACTGCTTTCAATCATCTAAAAGTTTAATTCTTAACGTTCTCAGTGAACTGATTCTTAGTGAAAGTGAAAGCCACATTATCCATTGAAGTTGACAGACATGAAAATAACACTTTGATAGTGATGGGTACTAAATGTGTCTTTATTCCCATATAAACAGAACACGTTTGGGTCACATGCTTAAATTGGTTGAAGTCATTAGTCTTCAACCTGTTTTCGACATATGTCACGGAAGGGCTGTTTTTGAAAAATCCCTTCTCAGCGACCTAATCACAACATTTGTACTCATTTGGACGTTTCAGCTTATTTTGTATTTCGTCTCCTTTATCCTCCTGGGAGCCCGAATAGCTCAGTGGTAAGGTCATTGACTGTAGCGCTGGGTGACGCGGGTTTTCAACTTCAATATGAAGCTAGTGCTACTTTATGGATCAGAGACTTGGCGCGTCATGAAGAGCATCTCAAACAAACTACAGACCTTCATCAACAGCTGTCTTCGCTCAATACTAGTCAAGATCAGATGGCCGGCGAGAAAAGATCAGCAACAAGAATCTTTGGGAACGAGTCACCTCAGCAGGAACCAATTGTGCAACAAATATGCAGGAAGAAATGGAAGTGGATTCGCCATACTCTTAGAAAACCATCAAGTGACATCACAAAACAGGCCATCGCTGGAGTGGAACCCGAATGGAAAGCGGTGAGTTGGTCGTCATTGTGAGATTGACATGGAGGGGATCATGTGAAGAGGAGATGAAAGCATGTAGTCAGACGTGGAGCCAGGTGAAAACCATGGTAGCGAACCGAACGCAATGGAGACGCGCGGCTGAAGCCCTATGTTCCTCCAGAAACTAAAGGAATCAATGTGAAATAATAATATCCTCCTGGACTATATAGCATTGTTCTTTTCAACTGCATATCACACGTTGATTTGATACTTATTATTTGTGATTGCGCAATAAACTGATAATATATTATGTAATGTGATGTTCTTTGAGTGGATAAAGGTCATTCTGACCTTAGACAGTCTCAGGAAATCATTACAATGTGATTCTTGCTGGCAGAATTTTTGATCACACCCTGTTGGAAATATTGTAACTGACTCTAAGTATTTGTTTTCTACTGAGAAAATTAAATGGACAATATTGTCAGGAGTTGGTTTGTAAGGATGAGATTTGTTTTTACGGGTTTGACTATGGATTGATATCAGCTAGAGAACCATTGGAAAACCAGTACTGAAGTACTGGACAGCTGTTTCATCCTACTTTGGGAATCATCGGCAGTACTCACCCACAGCCAGGGTTAGAACCCAGGACCTACCGGTTTATATGGCAAGCTGGTATACCATTCATCCACTGGAACCCAATTCAATGGCCCATGAATTCTAACTTCCACCGATTTGTGATTTAGCACGACTGGCACCAACCAATATCATCGGTGGGGCATCCGTCCTCAAACTTGACTGGATGGACCTCACTGGTCACAACTTATCACTACAATTCCAGGAAACTCCGTCCTGTAGCAAGTCACTAGCAAGCGTCAGATTAATTTTCAAGAGTTTGGTTTGTAAATATTAGATTTGATTTTATCTGTTTAACCACGAATTGATATCAGTTAGAGAACCATTGAAAACCAGCACTGGAGTGCTGGACAGCTGTTTCATCCTAGTGCTTGGGATTCATCGGCGGTACGGAATCAGTGGGTGGTAGAAGTGCATGCGTACTGCCGATGATTCCCAAACTAGAATGAAACAATGGACGATATTTGCCAAACTGCACTGTTGGAGTAATTTCGAGTTTTTGATTGTTTATTGTTGATCAGGACCACGCATAGATTCGAACAACGAATAATCGTCATTTTGCTGTCTTAGGAGTCTTTTGTGAACGTTCATGTCTTAAGGAGATTTCGAACAGCTACTCAGTAGAACACAGAGATCGTTCAGACCACAAATAGTCGGTTTCTGTCGTAACGGTATGTTCTTGATTTGTCACTTCAGTTTTACAACTAAGGTTCAATCTACTGAATAGTACTTTCGCTGTTCAAAGAAAATTCCAGTTTTCTTATGTAATATGTTAAACGGGGGATTTTTATGGAAATCGACAAGATATGAGATGATCAACAACAATTGGTAGGGACTTGTATGTTGAGAAAGGTAATATATACAATTTATTTGCAATCACAATGCTGTCAATATTCCAAGAATCATGAGGCTGAATTGATCCACTCTAGTCCTTTTAATGTCTGAAACTAAAATTCACAGTTTGACATTTAGAAAGGAATTCAGTTTAGGTCAATTTGAGTAGGACCATTAATTAACCCATAATTGCACAACCGATTGTGACATAAATTGTCAAGTCATCGGTATATTTGATTAAATTAGCCGTAAGCGAATATGGAAGGTCATGTAAAAGTGAAAGAAGACAGAAGCAGAGAAAGTACAACAGCTTGAGGCATATCAGCTTTTGTAATTAAAGAAACAGAACACCCTATTAAAACGATGCGCTACTTTTTTCACAGGAGAAATACCGGAGGAACTGCTTTGTGACTGAGAACTCAGTGTGTTTTCAAGTGAATTTACTTAGTAAAGGCGAGACACTACGTCTCGCAGAATGCAGAATCTCCTGAAACCGGCAAATAGTTGAAATCATTCTCGCTGCTTCATCATTGCTTTATGGCGACACATAATATTATTTCTGACCGACGTTTACATCCCACTTAATACCTGCAGATGCCACTTACTCGTAGTTGCATTATATATTTATATATATATATTAGATTGCCGAGGATGGCAAATCGAGAATCGGGAAGGCGAGAAACACATTCATCAACCTCAAACCAATCTGGAAATCTTCCCCACTCCACAACATCAACAACAAAATGATTCGGATTTTCAATACAAACGTCAAGTCAGTCAGTTCTTCTATACGTACGGATCAGAAACTTGGCGGGTCACAAAGAATATTTCCAACAGCCCGTTGCAGACCTTTATCAACAACTGTCTTCGCTGGTTCTATACTGAAGATCAGATGACCGGAAAGAATCACAAACAAGAAACTATGGGAACAAAGAAAACAAGAACCAATCGCCCAACAAATTTGCAGGAGAAAGTGGAGATGGATTGGACAGTCACTGAGGAGGCCACTGGGTGATATCGCGCGTCAGGCCCTGGAGTGGAATCCGAAAGGGAAGCGGTGAGTGGGACGTCCAAGGGTGACATGGAGGAGATCGTGTGAAGAGGAGTTGAAACAGGATGTATTAACATGGATGCAGGTGAAAAGCACAGCAGAAGACAGAAGCAAGTGGAGACGTGCAGTTTAAGTTCTATATTCCACTAGGAACCCAAGGAAGCAATCATAAAAATAATAGCTTGACTCAACAGAGTATATGTGATACAAGTATGGAATTTTCAGCATGTGATATCGGTAGCCCAAATATATCAGGTCGACCACTGATATCAGGTTTGCATCGCCTGACGATTGAACCCCAGACCATGTGCATGGTCTGCGAGTGTCCCAAACTCTGTAAAACCGACGCACGAATCAGCGGAAGTGAGAAATGATAGGCTGACTATTTGACTTCATCCAAGTAGCAGAATGATCATCGAACTCGCCGACAATAACTTGTCTCGGCTGCAGTGGTGTATGCCCACCACTGAAGAGTTCCATGCGTTCCCTCACTGAAGTTAGTTCATGACTAATCATACAATTACCAAAATGTCTACTTAAAAATATTCGAACTCATGAAACGAAACTACTGAAAAAAGAGATGTGTTTTTCGACTCACTTTTTTATCCTGACGTCTTACAGCATCATACACTTTCCAGATTAATTCAGGTCCACAACTGGCAACTTGTTTTTCAATACTGAAATATTTTGTTATGGGATTTGTAGGGAACTCAGCAGGCGGGGTATGAAATTCACTGCCAGGTGTTGAAGAATTCACTGTAGGAGTCATACCGCCAACTGATGTGATATTTGTATTAAAGTTATGATTACTATGACTATGATTTACAAAAGATGTATTCATTGGAATAAATTGTTTTTGTAGAAAATAGGAAATTTAGTATATTTTTCAAATCTATTTGAGAATGTTTTATCCCGTTTTCACTAAGAAAGTTAATTCATTTATTTGAAACTATATATGTATATATATTTATTTATTTTTTTCGTTTCTAAATGTAAAACATCACTATGTCATCCAGAAAATTTTATTCATTTAATGTTTGACTCATGTGGGAGTATTGTCGTAAAAGTTAATGAAAACTGCTCAGATATATACATATATATATTTATATTCCCAAGTTAATTGAAAAATCCTACTTAATATCTTGTCTTAACCAATCAGAATCGACAAAAAATATTGACCAATAAGATGTTGAGTAATTAATTATCAGAAATAACAAGAGCAATTGAGTACTTTAAAAACGAGTAATTATTATATTGAGAAAGGGAGAAAAATCAAACAATGAAAGTGGTAATTTTTCTGTTTTTTCTTTTGCTTCAACAAACCTGAAAGTCATTCACCCTTTAAAGATTGTAGAAGTAGTCTCGTGATCTGCTCATGATCAAACCTGGAGACAATCAAATCTCCGTGTAAACCAGTACTTGAGGATGAATTAATTTGATGCTGGCTAGCAACTGCCTATATACAGACGAAGTAGTCTGGAGTTCTTTTCAGTGAGAAGTCGTGATTAGTCGCAGGTTCCACCAACTCAGGCAAAAAGACACAGTTACTCGATGGTGACATAGGCTGGCGGTTGCTCTGTATCTGTAACGACATAAATCGACATGTTTTTTGTCGGAATGCAAAAAACCGATCTTTGCGTTCTACTAATTTTGTCTGAACAAAACTTCCTTGAGTTGCTCACAGCCAAAGAAGACCCCAATGACGGCAAAAAGAAGGTCATTTGGAGTAAATTCTGCGCTAGGCAGCTGTTACATAGATCCGATTCTTTCTCGAGTACATAACGAGTATTGTATAACAGAATTATTTAACCAGAATCAACCGTATGAAGTGTCTGAAAATCAAGTAGAATGTGAGAATGGAATTTCTATCAGCAAGTATCAAGCAGCAGACAGTCCTAGGTCAGAGTAACCTTCATTCATTCAAACAATAACAGCATCGTGAAACAATACATTATCCGTGTGTCACACAACTACAATGAGAAGCGTTAAAATTAGAGATTAGACAGGAATAAAGACAAATAATGAGGATTAAGGCAATAGACTATAGGCAAAGGTTGCTGAAACATCCTAATAAGCATCATTATTGTAATTAGATTGTTACACAGGGGTTTCTCAGACGATTATCCGGCTACAATATCTCTCTCGAATCGCCTTCAGTCAGACTTCATGAGCTGTTAGATCTAAACAGTCAACGACCTCACCTTATAACCTGAAGTTCTTTGATTCGAACCTGAATAGATGAGTTATGCTGAGTAGTCTCAAACTAGGTCGACGAAACGGCTATCTAGTCCTACGCCCTGGTTCCCCAGTACTTCCTTTATTAATGTCATCTCGTGATGAAACCTGAAATCAATCGAAATATTGGAAATCAATACTTAAAAATCTTTGTTAATAAACTTCTTCTTGTGGTTACAACACCCCTCTCCTCCATGAAATGACAAAATCAACAAAAGCCGTGACCAGTGGGGTACAGCAGGTTGAAGATGAGGCAGTAACTCATCGAAGAAGACATTGCGAAATGGTCGCGCTATGTCGTGAATTGGCAGAAGTTAGAATTCAAGGACCACTGGATCGGGTCCTAGTGGCTTAATGGTCTATGAGCTCGCCTTGTAACCAGGAGGTCCTGGGTTCGAATCCCGGTGGGTGCGTACTGCTGAAGAGTCCCAAACTAGGATGTAGGAAACAGCTGTCCAGTACTCTCAGGTTTTCCAGTGGTTCTCTAACTTATGTCAGCTCATGATGAAATCCTCCATACAAATGGGATAAGCAATTTCATTATGTAAACACACGCTGCTTGTACAGTTTTACACACTTATCAAATCCAACAATCTACACACATGGTTTTGTTACCTTTACCAATTGGCCAACTTGACACCTTAAAAATGACCCAATGCTGAGGAACGATGATGATTAAGTTGTTATATAATAATCTGAGTGGATTTTGTAAATTCTGGTTTAATAATACTACTTTGATAAAGCTATTAGAAGCAGCATTAAATAGCGAAACGTCAGTAAAAACAACGACAGTATCGTTTTGTTTTTTGTCATTCATTAGGAAATGCAAAATACCTTTATTATAATAAATATCATATATTTCTTATCAATACAGCAATTTAAAAAAATGATTTGTTTTGTTCGCTATGGCAAGTTTGACAGAAAACTTTCACTGTCACAGGGTTCTTGCTCTGCTTCAAATTACCGAAAATAGCCATTGAGTCATGAAGAAAATAAAAAAGACAAATTCAGAGAAGAAAATTTTCTTTATCGACGAAGTCATCAACTCGACCACTGTACATTCGTGTATTTATATAGAAATGTGTGAGATAGTTCCAGAATTATTTGCAGTCAAAGGTCAAATTAATAGAAATACTAAGTGTAATAAACAGAAGGTAGGTAGTTGTACTGATCTAGAAATAACTCAGGTCAAAGGTCAAATTAAAAAATTACAAGGTGTAATTATCTAGAAGGTCGGGTAGGGAAGTCATAATAAGATATAATTACTCAACAGCTATATGATAATGCCACGTGTCAAGTGATCCACAACGGAAAACTCAGCGAAGCATTCGAAGTGCATACAGGAGTAAGACAAACAAGGCTGCCTGCCTATTATCACCGATAATATTGTTAATTGTGGTGGACTGGATTATGCGTTAGACTGTACTTGGGAGTGAGGACACAGGAATACCCTGGACCACCGAAAAAGAAGAATCTAGGAGATCAACCTGAAACCAGTTTGTAAATCTTCTGCACTCAGCATAAGGAGCAAGATTTGAATTTTCAACACCAATGTGAAGTCAGTCAGTACTTCTATAGGGTTCAGAAACTGGGACTGTGTGTAACGGAAAGGATTTCCAACAGGTTGTAGACTTTAATCAACAACTATCTTCGCTAGCTCCATACTGAAGATCAAATAGCCAGAAAGTATGAGAAAAAACCAACCAAGAGCCAATCGCTCAACAAATATGTGTGAGAAAATGGAGATGGTTCTGGCATACATTGAGGAGGCTGACAAATGACATCGCCCGCGAGGCCCTCGAGTGGAATCCAAATGGGAAGCGACGAGTGGACAATCAGTGTGACAGTAGCATGGAGGAGATCGTGTGAGGAAGAGATGAGAAAATTTGTTTAATCGTGGACCTAACTGAAGAGGACGGCAGGAAACAGAACAAAGTGGAAATGTATTGGAAACATTTATTTCCCGATACGAATTTAAAACAAGCAATAAAGGTTAATAAAGCAGGATTTAATGAATTCATCAAATTTCGGTAGAACTCGTCAGCTGAATACTCTACATACACGAATATATACTTTTGAAATTACATTGGGAGATATAGGACTGATAAGTAAACAAACTACATTGAATTATTGATATAAGAATAAAACTTGGGCACTGTGGTAGAGTGTAATTCCATTATGATTACGAGCAATAAACTGTGCTCGAAACGTCATCAGTAAATATTACTGTATAACACTGTGAGACTCTTTCAAAACAAAATTTACCCATAATGGAATTACATTGAATTAGTCATGCAGAAAGACAGGTGCGAATGTTTTTCCAGGTCATGTTCAATTAGATAAGGGAAGAGAAAGTATGGGAGATCAACATTAAGATAAATTGCATTACGCTTCAATTACATCACTTAGATAAACAATTAGACATTAGAGAATTTAACAAGAATTGCAACCAGAGGGATGTCAATAGTAATAGTTATAATAACAATAATAATAATGGTGTTGAAGTGAGTTAAGACAATGCTACTGATAAAGGATAGTTTTAAATGAATCAAGAATAATAATAATGAGAATAATAATAGTAATAATAAAAATAATAATAATAGGTAGAATTATAAGTAAAACGTATTACCATGGTAGATTCAGAGTCACGACCATCTCCTTTTGTACACAGAGACCTGGTTTGTAAACTCGAATTGAACAAGCCTCTGAAATTGCAAGCATCTTCTTGTTTCTTTGTCTGCTGACAATGGTGAATGACTTGACCGCGTCGATATCATGCCCGTAATCCACAAGATGCTTTGTTACTGAGGATTTTGGCACTTTGAACTCAGCTGTTTTCGACCATTTTGGCAAATGCTCCATCATACGAGTAGACAACCTCCTTTCCGTACGACCTATGTATTTGCTTCCACAAACACACTCAAATTGATATACGCAGTTTGAAATGTCCAGGATTGGCGACTGCTCTTTCCCAGGATTGTTGAAGCACTCGCTTAGTGGTGTTAAGGAAAACAAGTTTTGCAGCATAATAAGTTCTCTTGATGGCTTTGTCGAGTCTTCGTTTGACTACTTCCTGTACATCGTCTCCTTTGAACAGTAAGCTGATATAGACAGGTTTCTTCGGAACTGTTTGGATTGTTTTGCAGCGGGTGTTTTCTTTAGAGTACCTATTAATGAACTCAGGATATCCTTCAGGGATTTTATTTCATACTCAACAGTACTGTCAGAACAAATTTTTCGTGCTCTATTGAACAGTGTTCTGACTAAGTTCTTTTTATATTGGATTGGAACAAAACTCTTGAAGTGCATGTACTGTCCTGTCCATGAGGACTTTCTAAATATAGATCTTTCGATTGTGCCATCATTCATTTTCGCCAGAAAAACGTCTAGGAATTTGATAGTATTATTTTCCTCGTGTTCTACTGTGAAATTGAGATTTGGATGACATGAGTTGAATTTTATCAGCATGTCTTCGGCTTTTGATCTGCCTCCACGGGCAATAAAAATGTCATCAACATATCTTAGGTATAGATCCGTTTCTTGTATATGTTGTTGCAGGGTACCGGTTTCTAGGCGTGACAAGAATAAGTCAGCGAAAAGTGGTCCCAAGGGGCTTCTCATTGCGACACCATCAACTTGACGGAATAAACGCCCGTCGAATTGGAATTGAATATTTTTAGTACATAAAAGTAGCAATTTCCTCAATTCCGACGTTGGGATGGGTATATCTTCAGCTTCTTCACATATGAAGTCTAAAGTCTCAATGACTGGCACATTTGTGAAGAGGGAGGTAACATCGAAAGAGACTAAATGTTTATCAGATACATTGAAATCTTTGATTTGCTCGACAAACTGGAATGAAT